GATTGTACAGAAAGTTTATTGCATTGCGAAAGAGGTAAATGCACAAAACAAACACAACCAAATGTATGAAAATACTATAGTTAGGATTTTGGTGATAAAGACGAAAATATGGAGACTCAAGATTTAGCACTTTAGATGGCAATCTATTAATTAAATAAAAAGCATTAGACAAAGCTTCCACCTAGTATTTAGATGGTACAGATGACTCAATCAATAAAGTACGAGTGACATCTAAAAGATGCCGATTTTTTTGTTCAACAACTCCATTTTGTTGTGGTGTATATGGGCAAGAGTGTTGTGAGACAATCCCTTTGTCAAGCAAGAATTTTTTGAATTCATAAGACATATATTCTCCACCAGAATCAGATCTTAATAATTTGATGCATGTAGAAAATTGAGTCTCAATGTAAGCCAAAAATGTCTTGAACATGGAAAATACCTCAGATTTGGATCGAAGAAAATACACCCATGTAAACCGACTATAATCATCTATGAATGTCACAAAGTATTTGAAATGAGCATGAGAAATAATTGGTGAAATGCCCCAAACATCACTATGAATGACATCAAAACACTTTGTAGCACGACTACCAAAATTAGGAAAAGGAAGAGTTTTACTTTTGCCTAATTTACAAGTAGAACAATCAATGGAAGCAACTGAAAATTTATTTTTATTTCCCAATAAACCAGAATTTGATAAATGAGACAACACAACAGAATTTGGATGTCCTAGACGCTTATGCCAAACCTCAGTTTTACTAGCAGTAGAAGTACAAGCAAAAGATAGAACAGGAGGAATGGAAAAGTGTATAGGAAACAATCGTCCAACTTTAGGCCCCTTCGCGATTATCGTCCCCGACACCTGATCCTGCACAAGACAACCATTACGAGAAAAATTCACATCACAATTGTTATCTACCAATTGTCCAACTGAAATAAGACTAGTTGAGAGCTTTGGTGAAACAAAAACATTCTTGAAAGTTGGAGTAATGTCCCCAACCTTGGTAATGGGTAAATTACTACCATTGGCAATCTGTATTTGTGATGGACCTTGATACTTACGAACATTTTTTAGGATGCTCGTTGAGTTGGTCATGTGATTGGAAGCACCTGAATCAACAATCCAAGATGTAACATCATTACCTTGTAATCCCAATGCTGAAAAGGCTGACACGATCATTTGTTGTACCATTTCAGGAGTAAGAACTTGTCCTGAAGATGAGTTATCATCAGTGGAACCATTTATCCTAGCTTGAAAAGCATTGATCCTACGATTTTGAGGGCGCGTGGGACACTCTTTGATAATGTGTCCTTGTTGTTTACAATAATTACAGAACTTCTTGCTACAATTGCTAGCAATATGACCATATTCCTTGCAACTGTAGCATTGAGTTCTACTCATATCCCTGCCCTTTCCTTTACCTTGAGCAGCAAATGCAACAGTGACATCATTTTCTTTCTTAAAAGCATTTTGTGTGACAAGACGTTGCTCTTCACGAAGTAATTCCCTAAAGCAAACATCCAAAGAGGGAGACGGGTCACGATTCATCAAGTTAGAGCGAACACTCTCAAAGTCGGAGCGTAATTTCATCAAAAATTGGTCTCGCTTGCCTTGCTCATGAACAGCCTGAATTACTGATAGGAATTCAGTAGGTATTTTGGCATTGACAATATCTGTAAATTCAACCCATAAGTTTTGAAATCCAGAAAAATAATCCTGAACAGAAAGACCTCCTTGAGAGTAATTAGCAATTTCATACTCCAACTGAAAGCGTCTTGCGCTATTATCTTGGTTGTAAACCTTTTGTAAGTAATCCCACATGGCCTTAGCTGTCCTGTACGGCCTGAGATTAAGAACAATAAGAGGGTCAATTGACCCTAGAATCCATGTCATCACCCGAGCATCTTTAATCTTCCATTCACCTAGCTTTGTTGCATCAGTAGGAGCAGGATCGCTTCCATCTATATGGCCCCATAGTTCTTTGCCGGTGACAAACAACTGAAATTGAAACTCCCAAGAAGAATAATTTTTTCCAGTGAAACGAACACTGAAGGATTCAAAGTGATGTGAATTCATGCTTTTGAATAGCTATAAAACTACAAAGACTCAAGAAAGCAACTAGAATGACCAAGAACAAAATTCCCAGGAGGTAGCCAAAAACCAAGATTTTCAAAAAAAAATTAAAAGGAACCACAGATGACTCTATGAAACAAGACAGCCAAGAGAAGGCTATAATACCATGTCAATTTTCAGCTGAATGCCTCTCAAAGTGAGAGTCTTTCCATTATATAGAGAAAATAAAGATTACACATCCCTAAAGATCCGCCATTCCTATCCCTAAAGATCAACTATTCTATCTATACAAATCTGCCATTGAATCCCTCTAAATCTGCCTTGCTATCCCTCCAAATCAGCTATTCTATCACAATATTTATTCATATGATTCTACAACAAATGTATATGATCATGCTAATTTATATCACTATATAATTACATTAATATATACAATCATTTAGTTATCTATCATGCTAACAGTTGTATCATCGTGCACCTATCCAGCCTGAACGCTCATTTTCTAATGAAAATGAATCCAAGACTAAAGATGTCATTCCTGTTGACGATGCAAGTCAAATTGATCTGTTACGTAAGACACCTAGTTCAGTAGACAGCAAGCCACCTATCAGTTCTGCTTCTGTTATTGGAGCTAGTAAGAAAGAATTTAGTTTTCCCATCTCATCAATACATCCTAGACTACGATACAAGCCTGCAAATGTGCTTCGTCACAGTCTTGGTAGTACTTTACGAGGGTTTGACTCACTGGCTAAAGTAGACTCCAACAGTGTTAGTCCAAATTCAAGTTTGTTGAAAAATCAGGCATTGGATAGAAACATGAACTCCCCTACTCGTAGAACTGTTGAGTTAGAGCCTGTTGTAGAAACCTTGGTACAAGCTAATGCTGGAACTGCGGTTCGTCCAGTTGGAACATTTGAGGCTAATGTAGTAAAAACTGAGGTTGTAAGTCAGAATCTGCTGTCTATTGAGTTGTCAACTAAGGAATTACTTGAGCTAAAACCAATGAAATGTGAATCAATCCAAGAAATATTGATGACATCAGATGTGAGTGGTGGGGACTTATATACTCCGTCTGATATTGCTGCTAAAAATGCTGATACTGCTGCTAAAGAATGCTATGGTTATGATTATGAATTTGATGGTCATCATGCTTTTGCGGGATGTGTCAGAGAGGACGATGTATTTGAAGATGGTGAGATCCGATAACCAATGATGCAGTCGATTGCAGAAGACCTAATTGCTGATGAGCAGAGGCCTATTGGCGCTATTTCCCAAGGATCAGTTGATCAATCAGGAATAGCAGATGTGCAGGAGGGATGTGAAAAGGATGTCTTAAGTCTCGGACCATCTGCTGGGAGCAGAGGAGCTGTCAGGAATGTTGGCGAGGCTAATAACGAGTATATTGGAAGATCTGATATGTCACCAATAGCCCTTTCATCTTTGCAAAATGCTGAAACACCTGTTTACCTCAGGTATTGGTATATGGAGGAAGAGGAATTCCATCTACGAAGGAATAGGTGGTTTTATTTTTTTAATTTATTGTTGTTTGATTTGTAACTTTTTTTATAATGTTGTTCAACTCTTGACTTTTTTCTTACTGCGGTTTTTCGAGAGATGAAAGAGCGAACATCCAGGATGTTCGAGATAGGTTTCAGGACCGTTCATTTGGTAGCTCAAGGGGGACTTCATGCGTGGAGGAGGGAGCGGCAGGGGCTGGGGCCGTGGCCGGTTTCACAGATTACGTAGAGATTGGTATTCTGGGCGTGATTTTGAAAGCTATCGAGGTGTAGCTGATTATCGCTTTAGACATAATCGTACAGCTGCTGTTTGGGAATCTGCAAATGAACGTAATGACTATGATGCCTTGCATTCATTTCGACATCCAACTGCACCTCCTGTTAGATCCCGTACTTGGTCCCCCTCCTTGGATGAGATGGACAGAAAGATTCAATGGTCATCTAGATTCATCTCAGCACAGGTCTCGGGTTATGTACAGAGAAGATAGAATTAGGTCTTCTCCACGAACTTCTTTTACTCAAGAAGCAATAGCTCCTCAAAGGCGTGATTCTAGCTCTCCATCTTATACTGCTCGTTGTCTGAATGATATGAGGGATGTGGATGTTGTACAAGAGCACGGGCATCCGAGGTCTCTTTCTAGCAGAAAAAGTCCACCTGATCAGGTATTTACTAGAACTAATAGGCCGAGAGTTGAGATTTTAGATCATCAGACGAGGGCTGCTGCTAGATTTCCCGAGCTTCACAGTGGTGAAAGTACTGACAAAAAAGGAAGTATCGCGAAGGGAGAGGAGAAGCTACGCAAATGAAAAACGTCGAAGATGAATCTGATGTCTCCAGATGGAAGAAAAGAAGATTTTAAACTTGTAATATTAGCAGTTGCCATGGGATACACTGTTTCTACATCTTTTTTTGTGTTGAAAAAGACTTATTAGCTCATCAAACCTTGAATCTATGCATTAATACATGTTTTTGCTTCAATCTTGTAGTTAGTAGGCTGTCCAAGGAACGCGATTCTTACTATTGTTGCCTGAAATTTGTTGTTTATTTGAAATTGTAAAGTAATATCGTAGCAATTTCTTTGTGACTGACAAAGTATCAAGACTAGACTTTATTGCATTGAAGATAAATAGTCAGTCAAAAAAGCAATAATATGTACCGTAACAGAAGTAAGTAGGAAATTTCTTGGAAATTCTAACTTCATCCATTCATTTTGATTAAAGATAACAACTTTTTTCTAATTACGTCCATCTAATTCACTTTTTTCTTTCCTTCTATCTAATTTGTAGCTTCACGGGCATGTACTTTTAGCTATCCATCATGTACTTCTCACAGGGGAATTTTGAAGTCTTTGAAGGAAATTCCTACTTCCTGAACTATGCTGGCTTTGTTTTTGGGAAGCATGGGATTCGTCTCTGAGTTCTCTATGACTTTCTAAAACTTATTGTCTAAATTACAACACCTATAACATATTCGGCGTAATCTCATAAGTACAACCCAATGTTTTAAAAGGCGGAGGCGTGAGGCGAGACGTTTTATGTCGTACGGGATGAAACATAAGCCTCGAGACACAGGGCATAAGTCTTATGTATCTATGGGACGTTGTCTCATTTATATTCAATTTTATAGTTTTATTACTAAGAAAATAAGCAAAAGCAAAACTTTCAATTATTTTACAAATAAATTTTAATAAATAACCTATAATATAAAAGTAAAGAGAAACAATTCTAAGATCATCTAATTCATAAAAAATTAATTGCTATGCAAAACTTCATATTAGATTTACTGAAAAAAATTCAAATACCTTCGAAGACTAAAACTTGATTCTAATGAATTCTCTAATGGATTGTAAAATATATAAAGTAAGTTAAAACAATATAAAAAGATTTTAGTGTCCTTTTAGATGGCACAATCATGTTGATTAGGTGTGTAGTTATTGCCCTTTATCATATAGGAGAAAAAATTGTATCTTAAATAGGAGTACTAATTTATTATTGGAAAAATTACCTAACTACACACCATTTATTATCATATTTTCTTATTTTCCCTACCATTTAAAAAAATATCAAAAATCCCCTCTTTTGCACCCATCATCCCCTTTTTCGGATACATTAATTTGAAATCTCATACCCATGATTTTCTTTCCTTTTTTCAAGTCACAAATCTCTCTACAGTTACCTACATTAATCCATTTTTGAATTTCAAATCTTTTCTCTTTCCAATTAATGATTTCAAGTTATTCAAGAGGAAGATTTCTTTCCATTACTTTAATTTTCATTTTCTTTTATTATTTCTTTTAGTTTTTTCATCTTAGAAACTTAAAATAATAATTAATTGTGATTGATTAAGCATAGACAAAAGGATCTCCTAAACACATATGTGACGAGGAGATATGGGCAGGTAATTGTGATTGCTAACATAATGCCAAAAGAAGCTTTTTGTTGTCAGTTTTTCATCTGTTTATTGATCATCAATCTTATGACATAACTTCCGGTCTCTTTACGGGAAGAGAGGTGGAAAACGTTGCTAATGCAGAGAGTTCATTTTGGAGTGCATTTGGATTGTTCCAGGAATTTCTAATGGCGGTCTTGATACACTTCATTCCATTGGTTCAATCTTTTAGTATTGGGCTTACCCAATTAGTCCGAGAAGGATACATCTTCGTTGCTTTCCATTGATTAGATTGTTGACTTTTTTTTCCAATTATTTGGTTGTTCATCTTTTCTGATACATATAGGTTCAGAATTTCAATGTATCTAGTTGATTTTGTTTCTTAAACTAATGTATGTTGCCTTCATTTCAACATTATGATACATTACAATTCTATCATGCACAATGTATCATGTTCAAATATTAATTTTGATACATAACCTTAATTAGTATTGGTACTTGATACAAAAATTCTACCAAATGTATCATTTATCAGCCTTTTCATCTACAAATTTCTAATACATATGGATTCTGCTCTCAAACAAAATAAGTTACATAAATAATAATGGATCATGCACTATTTTTTTATGCATGATACGTAAATTCGAATTTATACTAAATGTATCTGATACATAATAATTACCAAACAATAATGTATCGATCTCAAACCTAACATCTTATGGGTAACAATTTCTTATTTAATGTATCTAGAAAAAATACAACACTTATTAATTTAAACAAGATACATAAATAGTAATATATTGATAAACCTATCCATCTCGAAAACGAAATTCAAAAAATGATTTCACAACATTATAAAAGGTATGAATGATCCATCAAAGCTATGCATCTCTTCAGTCTTTTTGTTTGTTGTATCAATGCATAACGGATACATTAAAAATCCAGACTCGTGTTTCTTCACCTCAACGATGTATCAGATCTCCAATTTTTTTCTCAACTCATCGATCTCTAATTCAATTGCAATGACTAATGTGAGATTCACAAACCAATATTTTGACCAACAACAAATCCATCACTTTTACATCATTCATACCTTA